TTCCAAGAAGTTGGTAAAGGTGTGTGATTTCATTTTTTCACTCCCAGACTGTTGATCCAGTGATGTCCCAGAATATCCTGGGCCTTGAGTACATTTTCCTCTTTTATTTCTCTTCTATCAGACATATCAACATGCTCTCATTTACTTTCATTGATTCCTTTTCCGTTGCAATGACCTATTCTGTCCTTTCTAGAACTGAATTTTCTTCAAGGCTCAAAACTGTTCGATTTTTAAATTGATAGTCTTGATTCCTTGGAGTGTTGGGATGGGGCCTCTCAAAGGCTGGATCACTTGGGGTGGCACAAATTCTTCCCTCCCCTGAGTTTAGAGAGGTTAAATCTTCTTTATACAGAACTGCCCCACTAGGAACAGGGACCACCTCGAGGTCTTTGTTCCTCTCCTCCTTTCCAGTGACTCAGGAGATCCGAGTAGGTAAGCAGGGTTTGCCAGGGATGTGCCCCTTGGCGAACACACAAGATCAGGTACTGTTTACAGGGGCCTGGAGTGACAGGACAAGGGGGAATGGCTTCACAGTGACAGAGAGCAGGTTTAGATTGGATATTGGGAAGAAATTTTTCCCTGTGAGGGTGGAGAGGCCCTGGCACAGGTTTCCCAGAGCAGCTGTTGCTGCCCCATCCCTGGAAAGTCAGGTTGGATAGGGCAGGCTAGTCTAGTGGAAAGTGTCCCTGCCCATGGCAAGGGGTTGCAATGGGATGATCTTAAAGGTTGCTTCCAACCCGGACCGTTCTGTGATTCTACAATTTACACAATTCCACTCATCATTATAGGAGTATTTAAATGGGTTGGATTTGAATTGTGTAACAAACAACCATAAATAATGCTATATTCTGCTACAGTTACCCACAAAATATGTTATCTGCTGTTGAAATGGCATCATTTGGTTATTTGGTCCTAGCTTAAGGGAGCTTCAAAATATGAGGCCAAATTTCAAAATTTAGTTTTACAGGTATTTGCCCAATGCATTACCACTGTTCTTGCTCACTGAAAGCAAACAAAGGCATAGAATCTCTCTGTCTGTCTAGCAAATACAATCCCATAATAGAACCTTCTAGTTTCCCTTGATTAATTTTGTTTTATGTTGCTCTAGAATATCTTTAATAACTGAGTTCCTATATACTTTCTCAGTAGCTTTTAACACCCCCTAAGCTTGTCTTCATGCTACATGACTTATTCAAGCTTTTGCTTTAATTTTTCATTTTTCAGTTATTTTGAAAGTGATCTGGACTAAAAAGATTGTGATCATCTACCAGTGACTCCATCCTGTCACATAAAACTATTTTTCCTTGACAAGCATCCCATTAATAGGGCAGTCTAAACAGATTCTTGGTGTGAATGACAAACTCTTCCCTAGACTTCTTACCCCTGCATCCTATGTCACCATCATAAGAAACAGAGGGTTTAAGTCCTTGATGTCTAATAATTAACCCTTTTGCAGCAGAGTACAGCTGGGTTCTCTGTTCTGCTCATTCCACATTTCCATCTTGTTTTGGGGCAGCAGCTGGGTCATTCCAATTTTTATTTGTGGATCCCATCAGTGTGAACTGCTTAGCTGCTCTGCTTGTGTTCAGGATGTTAGCATAAGGATGTTCAAGGAATTTGCAGTGGGTCTTTGCCTTTACTTAAAGTGTATGGCTTAATTTTTTTGATAACTCCTTTGGTCTGTCAAATCTGGGATAGTTGCTATGGTTCAATTTTTTTTAAAAACACATTCCATGTGTTTGTCATGCATGTTTGTAAAATTTCATTATCACATTCTTTCTAAAACAAAGGGAAATTAAGGAGAGATGAGTTCACATTTTGTTATCAAACTGGATCATTATCTACAGAGGCTTAATTTGATGGATAGTGGATACACATGTGTATGTTAGAGGCAAATCCTGGAAGCCACTCTCAAAGAAAATTCCCACTGTCAACATGAGTTTTGCCTGAGTAGAAATTTCATGTTTTGGCTCTTTGTTTTCAGAATGGGAATTGTAGTTTTCTTCTCAGAGCACTCATTTGGTCTCACAGTATCTTGGCTCACACGGTTTTCAATAAGTGTCTGGCAGCTGTACTGGCAAACTTCCAGCATCCTGGGATTCAGATCTATCCCTACATGGACATTTGGCCTTTGTGAAGACATCACAACTATTTCTAGCTTGTTGTCCTAAGTGTAGAACTCTTCCCATTTTCAGACAAAGAATTCATTCTGAACCACACTCTTTTTACAGCTGAGTGGAATTCTCCCTTCACATCCGTGGATGCATGGGTCAAACATCCCTAAGTCTGGACTGTAAAGAAATACAATATTTGGTGCAACATACTCATAAAAGGAATATATACAAAATGCATTCCAGGGAGCTCTGTGGTCTGTTCAGTCAAGGGTAAGATGACTTGGCAAATTCAATAAAGACAGATCAACTACTATTCCATTCCAGGTGCAGGTGTATGAAAGGATACTGGAACTCCTTTACTAGGGAAGTTAAATGTAACTTGGCCAAATTTGAGGAGAATATGCACTCAGAGCAAAACTGTCAATAGCAAAAATTAGTTTAGCGTACAATGTTTTGCTTGGCATTTATTTTCTTTATTTCACCTAGTTTTCATTCAAATCAGCTTTCATATGTTGCTCTGACTCTGGAGACTGCCCCTCATGTCTCAGAATATTTTGCTTAGCAGAAAGTAAGAAAAAAAGGAAGAAAACAAATTCAGGTCTGCAGTAGCATAGTTTATCTAGATCTCCTCAGTTTCTTACAGCCTCATTTATCTCCTTTCCCTGCTTTGATCAAGCTGTCTCCTCTCATGTAGCCATCCATGCCAGATATCTTCATTCTTTCTTCATTTAAGTCTAAAGATGTTTGTCACATCCAGCCTCTGAATCTTTATATAAGGAAGAATGGTAGCAAATAATGCAAATAACACAAGCCAGTAAAAATGTAAGAAGCATCAGGACACAGGTGTTGACTGCAGCAACTTTAAATGCTTATTGTTGTACCTGTTTCTGTCCTTTTCTCATCCTGCTTACCACCATTTTTGCTGCTGATCAGCTTTATTAATGTTAGAGTTTACCTGTACCTCACTGTTTCTTGGAGTTCCACATGTTGTCCAGAGGCGGGACACCAAGATGATCAGAGGGATGGAGCAGCTCTCTTACAAGAGAAGGCTGGGAAGAATTGGGATTGTTCAGCCTGGAGAAGAAAAGGCTTTGGAATGACTCATTATGGCCTTCCAGTGTCTGAAGGGAACCCACAGAAAAGATAGAGAAAGACTCTTGAAAAGGGCCTGGAGTGACAGGACACATTCACATTGTGAATGGCTTCGCAATGACAGAGAGCAGGTTTAGATTGGATATTGGGAAGAAATTGTTCCCTGTGAGGGTCGTGATGCCCTGGCACAGGTTTTCCAGAGCAGCTGTGGCTGCCTCATCCCTGGCAGTGTTCCAGGCCAGGTTGGATGGGGCTGTGAGCAACCTTGTGTAGATACCCAGAAGAGAAGTGTCCACTGAATGTGTCTCAAACCCTGATACTGGGATAGCCACGGAGCCAACCAAGGATTATTGGTAGACACAGGCAAGGGTTGTTTGTACCAGCATGCCAGGAGGAAGAACAAAATGTGACTGGTGAAGGGGGACATGTGGTGGTAGTGCAGCACTTTTCTGGGGTAAATATCTTGGTCAAGTCCACAGAGGCGCAACAAAAAAAGTGCAGGAATGAGGCCAAGAAGTGGGCATGGACTGTAGTGGTGATCAAGATCACCCAAGACCCCTGAAAGCTCCTGGCCCATTTCCAGAAAGGTCTGAAAGGATAGAAGGTTCAAGATAACTTATTTGCATGGAAAGCAAGAAACTTGTCTTCAGGGGAGAAACCCATCGCGAAAAGAGAAACCCCCAGCATGCCTAGGTAGCGCACCTCAGGATCCTGGACATCCCATCATCCCATCAGGGATCAACACTGGAATTAGGGCTGCTCATCTGTTTCTCTCTCTCTTATTAATCTCCTTTTCTCTCTTTTCTTTCATCTCATTCTTTTATCCAAAGCCCACTGCCATATTCTTTTATAGTAGGTTAGGGATTACACACCAATTCCCATGCCAAGTATGTAATTAATAATTAATTTTTTCTAATTGTTTGCAAGACCCTGTGACTTTTGACATTCCTTACGGCCAAAAACATTTACACATCAAAGTGGAAGGTGTCCTTGCCCATGGCAGAGGGATTGGAATGAGATGTAAGGACCCTTCCATCACAGATTATTCCAAGATTCAATTATTTAAATGATAGTTTATCACATACTTTTTCAATGCATTAGGAAAACCTCACTATCAGGATAAAAAAATAGTTTGGAGGTCTCGCTGTGTTTATATTCTCACATGCAACACAGAACAGTGAGGGTTGTGTCTGCTGTGGTGAAAATGTAACCGGTACAGAAAATGAACACCACCTGTATATGTCAAGGAATTCTGGTGAAGTTCCATGTAGGCCCCATTCTATTGCTCATGAGGATTTATTAATTTAAAATGGTTTTTGTTCTCTTCATGACTATCAGATTAAATCAAAAATGTTAATAAGCCATTGTTTTGGATGGGGCTGATATGCAAGGGTTCTAATTATAGTAAAGAGGGATGATATAGCCACTGCTGTAGGAATGTCTTGTTTTATGGAAGATATCCAAATTCCAGCTCTGAATGAATTCAGAACTTGGTGGGAATGAGGACATGCATGATACTTTTCTCTTTTGTGAGCTTCTCACTTGAAAAGGCTAGTAAATTTTTGTCATCTTGCTTAATTTATGCTTTAATTTGGGAGAGAAAAATATATTTTGCAAGGGCACATTGAAAGGTTATTGATTAGGGAAGCTGGGCCAGATCTGACAGCCTAGTCCAAAAGGTGTGTGGAGTTGAATCATCTTGATGGCTTTGTTTGTGAATGTGACCAAACATTTTGGAGATTTTCTCTTAATCATAATCACATTTGTTTGTTTGTTTGCTTTTGTCTTTTTCAGGAACATCCCAGGCCAGAGTATGAAACCAAACTGCTGCAGAAAAAGCTGAAAAATAAAAACATCACAACAGAAAATTCAAACGAGGTGAGATGCAGCTTACTCTTTTCATTTATGTGGGATTTGTGTTTTGTTATGTTGTGGTTATATTTTTGTCTGTCTCTCAGAGGTTGCAAAAGGCCCTTTTTGGTGCTCTTAATTATCCTTTTGAGTTGGTAATTGGTGGTGTGGTGAAATGCAGGCCTGCAGTGCCATTCCAGAGCTTTGAGGTCATGTCTTTCAAAGTAAAGCAATTTGCATGGAAATGGGGTTGACAGGTGGTTCAGAATCTAATCTGCTGAGTAGTGCCTGATTCCCAAGATAATCACCACAGAATTCTTATCCTCATCCCTCAGAATGTCTGTACTTTCTGCACAATGGAGAAAGCAGCTTTTATTATGGTAATTTCATTTGCAAAGGTAACCTTGGTGTTTAGACTCTTTAGTGCTGCTGCAGTTACACAGCTGTGAAGTTTTAATGGCATTTCCAGGACAAATGGAAAAATAGGTGGTAGACAATTTTCAGACTGAACAGGGTTCAGGATTTTTATGTCTATTTCAAACTTTTTTGAACAAGCCTTTTTTATCAATCTCCTCTTGTAAATTGTTGACGGAGGTCTATATTCTAAACATTCAGAAATTCTGTAGTCTTGGTCCATTAGGCTTGGTTAACCATTGCTCATTCCATGTGTGTCAGCAAAGTCAAAACATTCTAATACCATGTTTGTCTTCCAAAGAGAAAAAACCAGTTTAATTTGCTTACAGGTTGAGAATCAGTATCCAAAGTGGAGAATGTTCAAGTTTTCAGGTTTGGTCCAACAAATTTAGCTTGTGGAAGAACTTCATTATCCCTTTCTTCTGCCGACCACCATTGTAAAGTGTTTCCAGGGAATCTTTCATTTCGCTGAGTCTGCCTGTCGCCTCTTGTGCCCAATCAAATGCCACTGAAAATCATGGAAAGATTCTCAATTATTTTAGTGGGCTTTTGATCTTGTCCAATAAGCAGAGTCTCACAGAGCACTGTGGGGTCTTACACATTGTACAGCTCCCTTGGGCTTCCAAGTGAGGAATAAAGGACTGTAAAAGTCCAATAAAATAGTTGCTCTTCAGCTTTTGTTTTTTTGGCTTAAAGTAAATGGGAACTGGAAACAAGTCAGCCATTGATGCTGTAGAATATTATTATTATCTTGTTTATCTGAGATACAAAAATAATTATAGATTATGTATTAATTTAAGGTAAACCAAAAATAAACAGAAAAAACCCAAACAAAAATTCCTCAAAACACCAACCAAAAGAGAAAACCCCACACCAAAACCCAAAAAACAACCCAAGAAGAAATGTTAAGTGAATAAGTGGAAAACAAGGAACAATGTAAAGATCCTGCACTAAAAAACTAGGAAAAGCTCCTTTCAGACATCAAGAATGAAAAGGCTAATATGGTATGTTTTTTGTCAAATTGCTTTCTGTGCCAATGTGGATGGAAGAAATACTGAATTTCTGAATTAGTGTTTCCCAAATTACTGAAATATATTCCAAGCAACTGAGCAGTTTTCCATCAGTGAACATTCTGGCTTACTAATTCTGTCCAGCAAATAGCGCATTAGTCTGGGTTTGGAAGAAGTGTTGCTCACACCTTTGTACATCAGTGTCTTATGAAATTATGAGATCAATAGATGTTGATATGAGAACTGCAGAAGAGGAAAAAACTAAACAGTTCAATTAAACAGTCCTAACTGTGGAAATATACCACTATATTTTGCTTTGGAAGACCCTGAAAAATTAAGCATTAAAAGTAATGAGTATTTAAGATTGCAATAATTATTTTACCTTATTTTTAGAGATTTCAGCCTTTTTGCAAGACCATTAGCTCAGGAGATTTTGCATGGTAGGTTAATATTAAGGCACAGATTTCTGTGAGGTCTCTGGCTCAGTATTTCTGCCTTATTGAGTGGATGCCAGGGTACAGAATTTTGTCATATTACTAGGGGAGATCTAGTGGCTGGACAGGCATCAAAGTAGAGATGTCTCTGTACTTAAAGATTCAATCCTACTAATTTTTGGTTTTGCGTGAATACACACAGATGTCTGTGAGATCTCTATCTCTTCATGTTTTGGTTGACAGTCTAATGTCATGGCATAAGTCTCTGTGAAGATTTCTCCTGAATATTTTTAGCTAACTAGTGTAAATTAAAGGCATATCTTTTTTAGTATGGCTGGTCAACAACTGTAGTATTGCATTAATATCAAAGGATTTGCTCTGGCACTGCTGCCTAAAACTTCTCATTACTTATTTAACGTCAAGTCAGAAGTCTCCATTTCAGCAGCTGTGGCTTGTTGGGATAGAAATTATGCCAAAGGGTGGCTATTGTGAGCATACTGGTCTAGAGCTTACTTAAAGGCATATATTTCTATAAAATTACTGGCTTGTTTCCAGTATGTTAATTCCTCTGTTCCAGTGAGGAAATGACTGATTTTATGGCAAGAAGCAGCTTTTATGTGCAAAGCTCTGTGTACAGTGCATTTTTTCCCTTGCCTTACTCCAACAAGGGGTTCCTGTGAAGCTAATTGGTTTTTTTTTTTCAATGAAGGGACAGGGGTTTGGTTAGGGACTGCTTTTGTGATTGCAGGAGAAAGGTGACACCAATTACATCCTCTCTTAAATGATAACTTGGGAATACACGTTCAGAGGAAACCAGCACACAGTTTTCCTTCTCTGCTGTTCAAGTCATTAACTTTAATGAGTGTGGAAGATGCCCGGCACCTGTCAGGGCCAGTAAACATATGAGTCACTCTACCCAGGCAGCAAATTCCAAATCAGCCTGATGAGCCTGGCAAGACAAAGTATGACACATCTAATTTATTACTTGCCCAGTGGGGTTTGTGTTCTAGAATACAGCTCTCACACCACTTGTGTGTGTTTCCGCTACTGGAATAAGGAAAGAAAAAAAATTCACCCTCCACCACCCTGTTCAGGTTGTTTGAATAAATATTTTATTGGTTATTTGGAAAGTGAGAAAGAAACTGTGAGGGCTCAGAGAGCTTCACAAAAGATTGGCGAACAATAACACTAACTTCTATTATTTCAGGAGAGAATTAATTTACAGCTAAAGGAGTTGAAATATTTGTGTTCGATGCCTCAGGTTAAGTAACAAATAGATAAACAGGCAGTCTTTATGAATTATGACATTGATTTTAGAAAATGACAAGTTCTAAGAGACTGATTTGGGAAATCTGGAATGACCTATCTTATAGTCAGTACTACTGTTTAATTCTTTATGGTCACATGTTATTTACAAGGACACATAATGACAGCGTAATGGGGGATGACTTCAAACTGAAAGAGAGCCAAGCTTAGGTTAAATATTAGGATGAAATTCTTCCCTGTGAGGGTGGTGAGGCCCTGGCACAGGTTTCCCAGAGAAGCTGTGGCTGCCCCATCCCTGGAAGTGTTCCAGATCAGGCTGGATGAGGCTTGGAGCAACCTGGGCTAGTGGAAGATGTCCCTGCCCATGGTAAGGAGTTGGAACTGACTGATCTTCAAAGTCCCTTCCAATTCAACCCATTCTATGATTCTCTGATATAAAGGCTTGCAATGTATAGCTCCTATATTCATGCACATCAAAAGGCATTTTTGTCCTTGCAGCAGAGATGAAGAATTACACACATATATGAATCCATATGTCTGATAATACATTCATACAAACACAGCAGATGCAAGCTTTGGAATGAAGTAATTAATGGTATATTTTGTTTTTCTTAAATGAATTATAACACAGAAGATGTGGATAGAAACCTTTAATGAATAGGGTTAAGTTACTGCATGTGTTAACTGAAAATGTGGTGGATATTTGCAATCTTCTGAGAAGTTGTTCTGTCTCTGCAGTAGTGGAATCCTCAATGGAATTACACAGAGGTCAGGAAATGAAAATTGCTCTTGTGCCTGAAAACATGCAGAGGGGGCTAGATCCAGCTCTCACTGGAACTGATGGAAAGCCTTCCAGTCATTTTTGTGAGAGATGGATCAGGCCCTGACTCCTTTTCATTAAATGTCCAGCTGATCTGGCAAACATGATTCAACATAATGTATATATATGTGTGTGTGTGGGTGTGTTCTTATCTTTCCTATTTGGCAGAAAAGTGAATAATTAATTCTACATATTTCTCAAGGAAAATTTTCTTTATAGAAAAATAAGGGCTTGTCTTTTGGCTTGTGTCCTGACTTGGAGCAAACCCTATGAGTAACAGATTCTGGCATTCTGTCTTTCCTTTAATTCATTTTAAATATGATACTAGCAGAATCAATTATTCAAATAGTTAATTCAGCTGGTAATTGAAACAAAGAAGAAATATTTCTTTCTGAACCATCATTTCAGTTAACAACTGAATTAAAGCAAGCTGGTTTGAAGAGAAGGGTCTCTGGTGTAAAGGATGATACAGATAAATGTGAAGTAGAATTGTACATTGCTAATACTTTATATATATATTTTTAAAATTTCAACATTGCAAAACACAAAATAAAAATTCTTGCTAGAAGTTGATTACCAATCTTCCATAAGCAAATCTCCCACAAGGACTAACAACCCTTTCAGATACTGGAGCCCATTTCTTCATTAAGGAAGTCCTTGATAAGATTAATTAAAGAAAAAATATCTTATTATTGTAAATATTAGCTGAAACTCTGTAGAAGAAACCAAGATAATTGGTCATAAATACAAATTTGAACAATCAGAATTATAAAAGAACTTTAAATATACCCAGAGTTCTTTAATGCCTAGTATTTTAGCATTTATTGAACCATATTATTAGAATGATAAACCCATCAATTTGATACAGTATTTCTTAAACTGGCCATTGTCTTTCTGGCCTCTTTCATGTCTTTACTTTGAGAAATATCTTTCTATACATATGGGATAGTAAGATGAGTATGTAATAAATGACTTTTTTTTTTCTTTTTCAACTTATTTGTTTCATCATTAACTTTTGAAATTAAAAAAATGACTGAATGAAGAGGAAAGAATGGCTGAAGATGAATGAGGAGACATATGATT